CTCATGATGGTGTCGGTCACGGGCTCCTGCAGCGTGCACCAGTTCTGCGGGCTCTCGAGGTCCGGCTGGTCCCCCCCCGCCCCTCCCTCGAAGCGCGGCGGCAGGGCGCAGGCCGCGGGCGCCGCGTCGGCCCGTGCGGGCCCGCCGAGCGGGGGCAGGTGCGACGCCGCTGCGAGCGAGACCCGCGCCGAGGACATGTCGTCCCCCGGATCTGCCGAGGCGCTGGCCGCCAGCGGGGCACCCTCCGCGTCGGGGTCTGCGCCCGCCACGCCCATCGTTCCTGAGGCCCGTGGGCCGGCGCCACGACCGACCAGATCCCCACCCTGCGGCTGCCAGGCCTGCAGTCCGGCGCCGACCAGCCACGGCCAGGGCGGCTGTGCTCCCGACCCAGGGCCAGGACGATCCCTCGAGAGGGACGTCGAAGCCGTTGGAGCCCCCCATGGGGCAGGGGCCACGGCCACGCCTCCCCTGGCCGTGGCCGGTCTGCCACGGCGGCTGGGCCAGGCAACCGGCGCCACGCCCGAGAAGGGTCCCGAGCTGCGGCGGCTATGTCCCGAGCCTTGAACCCGAAGGGCTCTGGAGGGAAAAGCGCGGATGCGGAAGAGGACGGGGTGGACTCGGATGGCGATACGGTCAGGAGCTGACGCTTAGCGTGTCGCGGCGGCGGCTGGCGACACGCGATGCCATGCGAGCGGATAGCGTGTCGCTCCGCTCCGCGGGGCGGGAGGCTGGGAAAGGCTCGGGACGCTGATGTTCGTGAACTGGGAAATGGTTAGCGTGTCGCGCCGAAGCGTGGTAGGCCAAAACCAGCGGCGCGACACGCTAAGCAACCCTTCCTGACCGTCCCTGCGACGCCTAAGCTTTCAGCATGTGGGGCTCAGGAACTCTGGACCCCACCAGCCGTGCCGATCTCGCCCAGCGGGTCGCTCTTCCGTGGTTCCTGGGCCAGGGCTCCAGAGGCCCAATCTGTTCGGGACGAGGAGGACGCGGCGATCGAACTCGCCATCGGCTTTCCTGGGCCTCGGGCGCCATGTTTTCTCACAACGCGGCCCCTGGAGCCCTCGAGACCCCTCCGCAGTACTGGTCCTTCGCCGCTGGTCTTGGTGTGAATGTCACTGGGCCTAGAAACTGCCCCAGAAGCCCAAATCAGAGGGGACAAAAAAATGATCGAACGCCCAGCGTAACTTTCTCGTCAGGGTCATCCGCCGCCTCGGAAGCGACGACGACGACGACGACGACAAAGTCGACGTCGACGACGACGACGACGACGACGACGACGACGACGACGACGACGACAACGACGACAACGACAACGACGACGTTAACGACGACGACGACGACGACGACGACGACGACGACGACGACGACGACGATGACGACGACGACGACGACGACGACGGTGGCGTCGACGACGGTGGGGTCAACGCCGACGACGACGACGACGACGACGACGACGACGACGACGACGACGACGGCGACAACGACGGCGGCGGCGGCGGCGGCGAAGCCGACGGCGACGGCGACGACGACGACGGCGACGGCGACGGCGTCTGCCGCCGCGGCGGCGGCGGCGGGAGCGGGAGCGGAAGGGTCTGGGCCTCCAGCGCCCGGGCCAGTCATCGCGGAGCCGCCAGGCGCGGGGCCTCCGGGCGCTCGGGCCCCGTCCTCCTCCTCCTCCTCCTCCTCCTCCTCCTCCTCCTCCTCCTCCCTCCTCCTCCTCCTCCTCCTCCTCCTCCTCCTCCTCCTCCTCCTCCTCCTCCTCCTCCTCCTCCTCCTCCTCCTCCTTTTCCTCCTTCTCCTCCTCCTCCTCCTCCTCCTCTCCTCCTCCTCCTCCTCCTCCTCCTCCTCCTCCTCCTCCTCCTCCTCCTCCTCCTCCTCCTCCTCCTCCTACTCCTCCTCCTCCTCCTCTGCGAAGATCTGCTTGGAATGAAAAGATGCTTCTTTCCTGCTGCTCGTGCCGAGCTTGACCCAAGGCCTACGGATCGAGTCTGCTGCATGCTGAAACCACAACTGCGTGCTACAAGCAACAACTGCGGCTGCTTTTCACACAACCTCTTCTATCTCGATACGTAGGGCCATTTGCTTTATAACCCGGGCTGTCGTCAATATGGAATCTGTATCATGCATCTGGGCGTCCTGCGGCCAGGCTGGCCTGCGCGGTTCAGGCACGCGTCCCGTTCAGGGAAAAACCTTATTAGGGCAGCATTCACATCAGGACGCCTCTCACTCACCCGGGGTCACCCCCACCACGATTCTCGGCCTTGGTCTCATACTTGCACCGGTAGACGTATTCTCCCGTCTTGAGGACATGCTCCAAATAGCTCTGATCCTTCATGTGCTTGGTCAGGGGGTTGGCAAGCATCAGGCGGGTGTCTGTCCATATCAAGCCGTCTCCGACTTCCAAACGATCTCGAAGATCAGCGAGGTCCAACGCGATCCTCCTCTCCGTCGGCATGCTCCCTTCCTTACGGCAGAGGTCGACGAAGCTCTTGCAGTCCGTCACGCACAGGCTGGGGATCTTGCCCATCAATGTCGTCCAGTCACTCTCTGATTCCCAGCCGTACAATATCTCTGCCAACGCCGTCCTCACGAAGCACGCCCTGTCAAACCCGTAGCTCGCACTGGCCGCCTCCGCTGCCAATGTAGATCTTACCACACGATGGATCTTGCTCGAGCACCAGTCCACCACGTTGACTTGGTTGGCTTCGAACTTCTCGTCGGTTAGCAGGAGGATGAATCCTTGTTGCGATCCACTCCTCGGCTGTCTGTCGTACGAGGCATCGTGTACACACATACATCCAAATCGTCCCGATCCATCTCCGCGATGAAATCGTAGCTTGACGTCACGCGTCACCATCTCCTTGGCCATGCTCAACACCGCGTTCGCCTTGCACAGCTGGCCGACCGTCAAGTCTGGCGTCCGCTGTTGCAGGTCACTGACGTCATAGGCTAAACTAGGTAGTGTCGTCCGCGCGGGCCACGATAATTGTTGTCCCAGGCTGCGGTACTTCGAGAGCTCTTCTTCGGTCGCCTTGCTCTCGGGGTCCATCCTCCTGGATGCCGGCACGAAGATCTTCTCCATCTTCTCGATGTACTCGTGCTGGTCGACCTCTATGGACTTATCCGGCAGCTGATTGATGCGCCGGCCGAGGAACTCGAACTGACCCTGCTTCTCCTTGGTCACGTTGAGCTTCTCGCGTACGATCTCCTTCGCTCTGGCGAACCGCTCGCCTGTACCGCCCCAGAGTCCGTCGTCCACGTGAACACATAGGACCGCCTCGATCTTGCCTTTGTCGTTCCTAATGACAAAAACTCCTTTCATGGTCTTGAGCGGCTGGAATCCGGCCTGGATCAACACCTCCGAGAATCTTTCCCACCATAAGCGAGGTGACTCTCGTAGTCCGAATACACCCTTGAGCAGTTCCACCAAGCTCCCAGCAAGAACTCCAGGTAGCCCTTCTCGGGGAGGCATCACATATAACCGTCTCGTGTTTGTCTTGCCGGTGAGGAACGCCGAGCCGATGTCGAACGCCCCGAGATCCCAGCCAAAATGCGCCGCCAAGTTCAGCAGCAGCATCAGCCCTACCATGGGCGCCACTGGTGCATCTGTCCGTGTACCTGCCGTTTCTGACGAAATCGCCATGCGCTTCGCACGCTTGATGCCAAGCTTGCCCTGGTTGTCCGGGTCGAGATGTCCCGGGATCACAAGTCGGCTGTTCGGCTGGCCCTCCTTGAGGGTACGCACGAAGCGCGCGGGCACCTTGAAGATCCTCGACTTGTCGACCTTCGCCGCCTCATCGGGCAGGACCACCCTGACGGCCTCGTTCTCCAGGTGCTGGTTCCAGTTCTTGGCGATGCTCTTGTTGAACCCAAGCCACTCCGCCTTCGTGAACTTCCTCGAGTCCAGCTCCTCCCCCTTGGTGCCTGCCTGAAAGGGACGGAGCTCCAGCGAGAACACGTCGTTCATCGCGTACAGCGTCTCCGTGTCCAGGTCCGGGACTGGGGTCTCGACGGCTTGGTTGAACACCGCCTCCACCACTGGTGCCTGAGGCACAACCTCTTCTATCTGCGATAGTGGTGTAGGTGGTGGCGTAGGCGCTCCAACACTCCCCGCTGGTGATGGCTGAGCTTCGGGCTCAGGTGTCTGTCGTGGTTCTTCCACTCGTTCGGAGACAACTCCCAGCACTGGCACTTCAACAGGATTCGGAGGTATCGTCGTACTCTCCATCGAGCTCGGTCTCAAGTCCTCGAACGTATGCTGACCCCTCGAGATCCCGCTCAGGTCCATGTTGTAGTTCTCAAGGATGCTGCCGATGGCCTCGCTCGCCAAGCGCTCCTCCGGGGTTGCCGACCTGATGTGTTGTGGTGCCACCAGCAGGAGGTTCCCGTTGAACACCAGCCAATGCGCTTCGTTCTGGCCTTCGCGCCCCCACTCCCTGCCGAGGATGACTGCTGGGCCATGCCAACGGTCTGCTCGTCTTGTAGATCGTGCCTGCGGCTTGAAGGTACCTGCCGCTCGCCAGAAGAACACGCACTCTCCGGGCATCCACGGCGAAGGTGTGGGTCGATAGTTGTGGACGATGGCCTTCCTCCACTTGTCACTGTTGTCCAGCTTCGCCAGCGCGACCTGAGCCGCCTCTCGTATCTTCTGCGACCGCTGGACCTGGTAGTCCTTGAGCACCGCGTCGTGCACGGCGATCTCTGGGTACTGTTCGTCGCTGAGGAGGCTGTCCAGCACGCTGCCTGGTAACCTGTCTCCACAACCGAAAACTCTCATCCTGGGGCTGTATCCTGATGGATCCACTCTTCGGTTCTTACAGATGTTCGCCGCCGCTATGGCTAACTCCATCTTGGCCGGGCCCTGGATGGTGCACTCGTCCACAATCGCGCGCACGATGTCGTTGCTGACGGCCCCGTGGCGCTCGACCAGCCCGTGTTGCCACGGACTTTCCGTGGGCACCACTCTCATCGTGATTCCCACCGACTCCGCGTAGGATGCAAAATTCTTCCTGAACTCCGAGCCGTTGTCGGAGTGGCACACAATAGGTACTCTGGCCCAGGCGCACCACTTCGTCATGAACATCCTGGCTGCCTCTGCACTGGAGGGATTTTCCAGCATGATCAGGCACGAGAACTTCGTCGCGAAATCCACGCAATTCAGGGCCAGGTACTTGCCTCCACTCGCGTCCTTCAGCTC